ACATTTTTTGTTTTTCCCAAGGCCTAAGGAGTCATACAGATTCAAATTTAACAAAATGACCACAATCGCATCGTCTTCACCAGAAACCGCTCAACCAGCTAAAACAAAATTGATGGGTGGTTTCATCACATGGCATCATGCAATGATAAAAAAATGGAGGAAGACTCAACTTGAAAGAAGAGAGGCAGTGGTGAGATGCTTACCCTTGTGGTGACTGGCTCGATGTTTGACGGAGTCGAATCCAACAAATCTCAAGTTGGGGGTCCCTAGCTAGTAGCCTAGATGCGATGGTAACAAGGGCACGAGTTTACCTAGGTTCAGACTCTCCGAAGAGATAAAACCACATGTCCTACTTGTGTTGTATTGATTTGGATGGATTACAAAGCAATGTTTCATTGACGTGCCACTGGCGTATGGAAAGATTGATGGGACGGGAAAGCGTGTTAGATATCGCCTAGAACCGAGCATGAAACCACTTCATGAGTCACCACCGCGCGGTAGGACCTATAGTTCGAGGTGTAGCAAGCCAAGAAGCTTATAGAGAGCTCCTCGGGTGCCCGATCAACTTGTACTCGAGTTTTTCGAGTTTGAGTTTTTTGGATTTAGGTTCGGGCTTTGGGTATCGGGTTTTATGCCGACCGTGACTCCTCATAGTCCGTTGGTGACGTGAAATTAAAGAGGGGCTGGAAAGAAGAAGAGCAAAAAAGGTGCTAAACACAAATACATGATTGTGGAGGAAAGGATGTTCGGTGGAATAGTGGATTCGGATCAGAACGTAATGGAGATGGCCATGGAGGGGGGAGGCTAAAAAATTGGACCATGTTCATAGTAAAACTGATATGAACCCTCCACATATTTCTTCTATTGAATTTAGCTGATAAACTAATATTAAGTTAGGGAAGAATGAGGTATCTATTAGATTTTTTTTGAAATTGCATGTTATGTTTCCCAACAGAGAGGAACTAGAGGGTAAGCCACACTTCGATGCGCCCAACTATAATCTCGTCTTCCACATGTGAATTAATGTGACACTGCGTTGGTGGTGATGATTTTTATGATGTGTATCTGGTTTTCTTATTTTAGATTTAGGCTTCCTTTGGTTTACGTAAATTTTGTAGCAATTCTATAGGATAAGATTCTTATTTAAGTTTTATTAGGTTTGCTTTGGTTTACAAAAAAATTGATGAAATTCTACAGGATAAGATTCTTATAGAAATATTTTCTTTAGGGCCCTTTGGTTTGTAAGAATGGACCCCTATTCCTATTTAGCGTTAGTGTTAGTTCATATCCTTCATATTGAAAAGAATAGTAACTCAGATCGAATGAATTTTTTCTATCCTATGAACCAAATGAGCCCTTAGGGCATCTTCAATGATGACCCGCAAATTCTTCCGATATATGTCCGTTTTTCTGTTCGGACGTGCCCCGCGGACATGATATAAGAGGGAGCCATCCTACGCTAATTATAAAGTATCTGGTTGGGAGGAGAAAAAGTAGGTAGGTATTTGTGTCCGGTTGCGAGGAGAGAGAGAGAGAGAGAGAGAGAGAGAGAGAGAGAAGAGCGGAACCATGCATGTGCGGTTGGGAGGAGAGAGAGAAGAGACGGACACGCATGTGATTGGTCAAGTGCATGTCCGAACTTCGCAAAGCTCCTCCAAGTTTGTCTTCAAAATACCAGAATTTGGACGTCCAGACAGCTTTGTAGACTGATAGAGGTCCCCACTGAATTGCAAAGTAAACAAAAGTTGTCCGGACACCACATGCGGGAGTTTTGTAGGTCTCCGTTGAAGATGCCCTTAACCATGAGATGGATCATGTGATAGGAAATGTTGTACATGCCCAACAATGAGTGTTGATTTGATGGGGTGTGTGGCGCTAGATGTGAACATGGGGTGGGAATTGTTTGCTTCAATTAATGTGAATCGCCAACGCGGGGCTTAATAAACTGTGGGTGGTGCGGTCCATTCATAGTGGTACATTCTTTCTTGGTTTCCCTAGAAAAATACATAGTACAACAAACTTAATAAAAGAAGAAGTAAACAATGTTTTCAAATAGTTTAGATTTCTTACCACATGTGTCACGTGATAGAAGAAAATAATGTTGATGTACAAAAACATGCGTACATATAAAATGAAATGAATTATGCCCTTTAAAAATATTCATGTACTTTAAAAATGTTGACGTAGTTTAAAAAATTATTCAGTGTAATAAAAAAATCATGGATTTAAACAAATGTTCATGCAATTTTAAAAAGAATCTGTGCTTTTCAAAAATATTAAAGCAATCTCAAAAAATGTTCATATAGTTTTAAAAAGTATTAACATATTTTTGAAATGTTATATATTTTACGGAATGCGCATGCAATTACAAAATCATGCCTTTTAAAATTGTTAATGTAGTAGAAAAGTGTTCACTTATTTTTCTAGAAATGTTCAGATACTTTTAAAAGTATCCACCTATTTCTTTTTTTTTGCTGGTAGTATCTACCTATTCCAAAATATGCGTGCAATTTTGAAAAAAAATCACAACTTAAGATTGCTTACACGTGCTGTTTTGTAAAGGGGTCATGCATTT